CCACACCTGGACACAGGACTCCAGATGGGGCCTCACAAGAGCCGAGTAGAGAGGGACGATCACCTCCCTGTCCCTGCTGACCACCCCTCTCCTGATGGAGCCCAGGATCCCATTTGCCTTTCGAGCTGCCACAGCGCACTGCTGCCTCATGTTCAGTCTCTCGTCCATCAGGACCCCCAGGCCCACTCCTCCCAGCCTCTACGGGTGCCTGGGGTTCTTCCGGCCCAAATGCAAAACCTTGCACTTTGCTGTGTTGAACCTCATTAGGTTCACCCGAGCCCAGCCCTCCAGCCTGTCCAGGTCCCTCTGAATGGCATCCCTTCCTTCCACCGTATCGACCGCAACCAATGAGAAAAAGATGCTATGAAACCAAACCCGGCCGTCGTTTTCTTACCCCCTCTCCACCAATTTTGTGTCGTTTCCAGACAACCTTCATTACAGCAGGGGGAAGAAAACGGAGCTCCCTACCTGCAGCTTCCGTGCCATGGCCACCACCTCGTGGTCAGCAGGGTTGTATTTGTAGCAGTTGGAAAACATCAGTCGCACGTCGGCGGCGAATTCCTGAGCATCTCTGTACTCCCGGTTCTCCAGTTTGGACTGGAAAGGAGAGGAAGGGGAGAAAATAAAAGCTTTGTGCCATGAAGAGCGTGAGGGTAAGGGTGCATTCAGCACATAAATGCTGCAGTGCAATGAAGGGCTGGGATCAGCGCGGCGTGGTACTGCGGACGAGGGCTGTGTCCAGTTTTGGGCCCCTCACTGCAAGAAAGACATGGAGGGCCTGGAACGTGTTCAAAGGAGGGCAATGAAATGGTGAGGGGTCTGGAGCACAGGGCTGAGGAGGAGAGGCTGAAGGAGCTGGGAATGTTCAGCCTGGAGAAGAGGAGCTCAGGGGAGACCTCACTGCTCTCTATGGCTGCCTGAAGGGAGGCTGCAGGGAGCTGGGGGTCGGCCTCTGCTCTCGTGCCATCAGGGATAGGAGCAGAGGGAACGGCTTCAAGCTACGGCAGGGGAGATTCAGGCTGGACATGAGGAAGAATTGCTGTTCAGAAAGGGTGGTCAGGCACTGCAATGGATGCCCAGGGAGGTGGAGGAGGCACCGAGCCTGGGGGTGTTGAAGGAAAGGCTGGATGCTGTGTTGAGGGACGTGGTTCAGTGGGAGCTGTTGGGAACGGTTGGACTGGGGGAGCTTTGAGGTCTTTTCCAACCTTGGTGATTCTATGATTCTATGATTCCCTGCAGTGCAGGGCTTGGAGCTCTCCAGAGAAGGAGACGCAACCACGTCTCTGTTCCAGGGCTCCGTCCATTGAAATCCCATTAAAAATGCCCCTGAACAAACCGTGGCACACGTCAGTTTTCCTCTTAGGAAAAGCAGCAAAGCACTGATGTCCTCAGACACCCAGGAATGGGGACAGGAGCTCCAGCCTGGCTGTGGCCCGGCGCAGCTGATGCTTTGGTTCCAGTTCACATTTTGGGATCTTTCAGAACGCTCTCAAAGCATTGAGGGCTTTGGGGACTGTGTTTATTTGGCTTTTCCACGCCGATGGGGCTCTGGTTCTTCCTGTGGGGGTGGAGGTGGAGCAGAGTGAGCCCTTTCCAGCCACTTCCCCACCTGCCCTGAGCTGGGGGGCTCAGCACTGAGCCCAGTGCTCCAGGTGGGGCCTCCCCAGCGCAGAGCAGAGAGGAGATGAGCGGTTCTCCACGATGCAACACCTGAGCTGTCGGATTTCTTGGCAGCAGAACCCCGCAGACAGCTTTGCTTCTATAGCAACGGCGTTTCCAGTCCTCCCTAAAAATAGCAGCACCTTCCTTCGTGTTATCTGGATGCCTTTAAGAGGCTGAAAGCGAATCTTATTTCCTCCCTTCTCCACGTGTGGCTGCGCGACCTCAGGGTCAGTCGTTCCGAGTTGGATCTTCAGCCATTCCTCAGCCCCACGATGATCCCACACAGCCAATGCTGGGTCTGTGGCTGCGGCCCTGAGAGGGGAATCACACAGAAGCCCTGAGGAAAGCACAGCATCACCCCTCACCTTTCCCCACTCACCTTTCCCTGCTGCGTTCCGTGGGGTTTGCCCAATAAATGACTCAGACAGTGGCCTGGGGAGGGGGGTTGGATCCTCTTGGAGCTGAGTTTGGGGATAATAAGGATCCCATCCTTATCTCTGTGCCTCTCTGCCCTCTGCAGGATTATTATAAGATAATTAAAACGCCGATGGACATGGGAACAATAAAGAAACGCTTGGAGAATAACTACTACTGGAATGCTCAAGAATGTATCCAGGATTTTAACACGATGTTTACAAACTGTTACATCTACAACAAGGTACGATGAGCTCCTCTGCGTTTCCAGAGGGGATCTGCTGGTCTCTGCAGGCTCCGTAGATCCGTTGTGTTGTTTGTAGCTCTGTGAAAAGCCAAATTGTGGCTGCCTGCTTTGGAGCTCCTAACTTTGACGTGGGGGAAAAAAGCAGCGCTGCAGAGAGCAGTGCCTGGAGCGGTGTCCTGCCCGGCTCTGCTTCCATTGCACTGCAGAAGATTCCCCTCCAGACAGCAGAAAGATCCTGGAAAGCACTGTGTAAACAGTTATGGAACCAGCAGGGGTGCAGGGAGGGGATGTGGAATTGAGGGAGCGCCGCGTTCACCGCCGATGGGCTGGGGAAAGGAGCTGAGCATCAGCGCAGCCTTTGGGTGCTGTGCGAAGATGGGAAAGCAGCAAATCGACAGAGGCTGTGCCAGGAAGATGCTGCTCGGAGCTGGAGGTGCTGCAGAGCCTCGTCTGCCAAGGAACCAGGGAGCAACGGCCCCCAATGGGGAGTTTGCTGCTGTCCTCAGAGCAGCAGCCAGCGCAGCGTTCCTGCAGCCCTGGCCCGGTTCAGCCCCGTCTCAGCTCCTGCCCTCCCCGTTCCTCCCAGCTCTTCTCCCTGGTGCTTCGCCCTCCATTCGACCGCGTTCTCCTCCTCTTCCTCCTCTCAGAAATGTTGCACAAGACCCAGTTGGTTCCAGATGTGTTGTTCCAGCTCCATGGCCGCTCGCTGGAGGGTTGGCAGGCAGCCCCGTGGTTCCTTTCCTCCACTCCTCACTCCCCAAAGTCTCTTCTTCTTCCTCAAAGCTCCTCCTTCGTACCCACGCTGAGCACTGGGGGTTGCTTCCCAAGGTTTGTGCTCCCTCTTTAACCCACAACAACTTCAGGCCCCGGCAGGCACTGCTTGTTACTGCAGATATTTCAGTTTTATTTGGGTTTTACATTCTTGTCCTGTTCTGGTCCTTCCAAGTCATGCTCGTGGCTTTTGCCTTCTCTGCTTTGAGCCAACACAGTGCAGCTGGAATGAAGCTCTGAAGGCTTCAGACCGTCCGTGTCTGCATTATTTGCTGCCACATTCCCACATCTCCCCCATTTTCCCACTGCAGCACCTTCCCATTCCTTTCTCCCTCACCAGTTCTCCATTCTCTGCTTGTACTCAAGAAATGGCTTTTGGACCACGCAGAGCCTGCAGACTGTCACCATTCCTCATCCTCCATCAGGCCTGGCTCTCGCTGGGCTCTTGGATGCCCTCCTTTGCTGCGAAACAAGCCTTCAGAGCAGCTGCCAGGCCTTGTTGGTGCCTTTTGCATTGCATTCCTGGCCGGTTCTTCCCGTTCTCATCATTTCCCATCGTGTTTCAGAGCAAACATCCAGCCCTGGGCCGTGCACTCATGGCAATTAACTCAGAGCTCGTCAATGAAGTGTTGATGCCCAGCTTTGCAGTTTGCAGCTGCGCCGCTGCAGAGCACTTCCAAAGGATGCGTCCTCTCACCACCATCCTTCACACCTCCCTTGGCCTTTGCAAATGGAGCTTCCTGCTCCCGGCCTGCAAGGACTTGTGAAGGTGTTGACCTCCCCCATCCCCACCAGCCGTCCTCCTCCTTCACTTCTTCTCCTTCCCTGGTGCATGGGATGCATTTCCTTCACAGCTGATGCTGTCGTCTTCCGTCTTCCTCCCACCCGGGTGCTTTGCTGAGGGATGCAAAGTCAGGGGGAAATGGCAGCCTGTAGGGACGCTGAGTCTTCTTTTTGTAGAATGACAGCACGGCTTTGGGTTATGAGGAGCCTTGGAGATCACAGAACCGTGGAAAGGTGGAATCTGTTGGTTTGGGAAGGACCTAAAGACCACAGAATGATGCAACGGGCTGCACTGGGAGAGCGCAGAAAGGTGGCAGAAGCACAGGATGATGGATGGCCTCAGGCACCTCCAGGGATGGAGCACCCACAGCTCTGGGCAGCAGAGCGCCGCAGCACCCTCGCAGCAAAGAGTTTCCACCTCATTTCCCACTTTTCCCCTCTTTCTCCTCCTCCCTCCATCCAGAAAACAGCAGCACTGCCTGCATGGCTCAGTTTGTCCTGCCATCACCCCTTGTGCACCCCTCTTCTCTTTCTCCTCCCTCCATCCAGAAAACAGCAGCACTGCCTGCATGGCTCAGTTTATCCTGCCATCACCCCTTATGCACCCCTCTTCTCTTTCTCCTCCCTCCATCCAGAAAACAGCAGCACTGCCTGCACTGATCAGCACAGCTCAGTCTATCCTGCCATCAGCCCTTATGCGCCCTGCACAGCTCCCTGCCCCTCGTCTCTCCGTGCCTTTACAGCACTGCAGGACAAGGACTCTTCTTGTTCCTTGCTGTGTGCTCAGGATGGCTGTGTGGCAATGGAAGCAGGGCCAAGAAAGATCGCCGTGTTCGAAAGCTGCAGGACTTGCAGAGCTGGGAGATGATAAGGATTACAGTTTGCAGTCCGAATTCCACATCCCACCCTCACAAAAAACCACCCCGAATTGTTCCTGTTTCGTTTTTAATTGGTCTTTATGATTAAGTTTGGTGTGAAACGGAGAAAAAAGCGCGGGCAAAATCTTTGTGGCGATCTTGGTTTGTTTAGATGTAGCAGTGTTTAGATCCTTGCAGAGATGTGGCCTGCCTGATTTGTTCTCTCTCATTCCTCCAGCCAGGAGATGACATAGTCTTAATGGCAGAAGCTCTAGAAAAGCTCTTCCTGCAGAAAATCTCCGAAATGACGCAGGAAGAAACTGAAATCGTTATAGCCCAGACAAAAGGGAGAGGACGCGCGCGGAAGGAAGCAGGTATGGCACTCAGCCACTGCGGCGGGCTGGTATTGGGGCCAGGCGTGTTCCACGTCTCCAGCAGTGAGCAGGGCGCGGGGTTGGAACGTATTTGGTGGTGGAGCAGAGCTGGGAGGGGTGGCTGCCATCACTGGAGGCTTCTGCACCTCTGGAGGAACGACGCAGCATCCGTCTGGGTTGGGGCTGAGCTGTGGAAAGGAGCGCTGTGGGGAAGGACCTGGGGGTCCTGGTGGCCAACGGTTGACCAGCAGTTGACCGTGAGCCCAAGTGGGTCTTGGTAGCCAATAGGGGCCAGTAATGGTGAACAGGTTGACCAGTGGTGACCAGCAGTTGACCGTGAGCCCAAGTGGGTCCTGGTAACCAATATGGGCCAGTAATGGTGAACAGGTTGACCAGTGGTGGCCAGCAGTTGACCATGAGCCCAAGTGTGTCCTGGTAACCAGTAGGGGCCAGTAATGGTGAACAAGTTGACCAGTGGTGACCAGCAGTTGACTGTGAGCCCAAGTGTGTCCTGGTAGCCAATAGGGGCCAG